TAGAACGAAATCTTGGCGCAGATGATAATAATCTTAATTCAATATTTTATGAACACCTCACCAGATTACTACAACATACTCTTTGTGGTGATCTTAAATTAGGCCGTTGGGGTAATGTGTCACAAGGCGACTGTTTTGTCTTAGCATCTGATTATTTGAATTGTTTGGTTCACATCGTTGAAATGGGAAACAATTTGGTCACTTTTCAAATACGTGGACTTGAGTTTCGCGGTACTTATTGCCAGCAAAGAGAAGTAGAAGCGATATCTGAAGGTGTTGAAGACAATGATGGTATGTATTATAAAATCTTACAATTAATGTTAATATTAAGTAGAATTATATATGAATAAACATTCTTGTTAATCTGAAAGCTGGCCATAAAGAAGACAAGTTCATCTGATTTATTCTAAGTAGAATGTAGATATATTCATGTTTTATTCTTTGTTTCTTTGTGGTATTGCCAATGTCAGTTGGTGGGGATAGAAGAAAAAACTAGGTAGAACTATTTTTTACATATTTTTATGTACAAATGGTTGGCTTATGACTATTTGCATAATTTGTAGTACCTATACAAATATTTTATTACAGGATGTTGTTGCTGCGAGCCTGGACATTTTCCTCACATTTTGTCTTTAAATGCTGCTCTTGGTCAACGTTGGCTTGCTTGGCAAGTAGTAGCAGCCAAATATGTTGTTCAAGGATATAGTATATCAGATATTAATGCCTCATCAATGTTACAAGTATTTGACTTTCGAAAAGTGTTGGTTAGCTATTATATAAAGGTGATCTTCTTATAATTATATTAAAATAGCGTATATGTATTTAGCTTATTATACTTAAATGTATTTTTATGTGTGTGTTTTATTTTAGAGTATTATATATTATGCTATACGATCACCAAAACTTCAACAATGGCTAGCGTCAGATGAGATAAAAGAAGGATTAAAACCAACATTGAGCAAGAGTTTTGTGGATCTTGACCCAGTTTTTAATATAAATATTGATGAAGACTTTGACTTACTTTCATGTGGTGTTACCCGCAACAGTTTCTGTTCATTTTATTTGGAATGGATACGATTTTGTGCTTTCCAAACAGAAAATGTAAGTTTTAAAAAGAAAACAGGGAATTCTATTTGATGTGTAATATTTGTTGAGTGTACCTCATCATTGAGTGAGTGATGGAAGTCTAAAATTTTAATTTAATAATAAATCATTGCATGCAAAATAATTAGTGTGAGCCTGCACTCTGTTCAAAATAATATCATGACTCGGCCGTTGAGTTGTTCCAAAGCACTGGTCTGACTCGTCAACTTGGTAGGGGAAGTGGCTAACAACGCATCTGACCGCCGCCGGGTCATGATTTTATTTTGAACAGAGTATGTATTTCTATGACAATATTTTATAGTTTATTTATATTGTACTAGCTGGTTTGCCCTTGCCAAAGATTTGGCTTTTTTCTTCCATAAATATATTTATTAAAAAATGTTAATATTAATATTTATGATATCAATATAATATACAACCAATGGCATCCCTGTAAATAAACAAAACAAATATTCTAAAATATTTTTTATTTTTAAAATAAATTTATGCGTGAGCTATCCTTTAGCCACCTATAGGGGTTGAAATAAGAGCTATGAACCCTCTTCAAGTCTCAAGGAATCTATAAATATATAATTTTTATTGAAAACGTTCCAGTAGTTTTTGAGTCTATTAAGTTCAGATAAACCATCATGGGTAAGAAATATATTGACTAAATATCAAAACTATAAATGAAAATTATTTTATAAAATCATTATAACAACTAATAACCACTGACAATCTTTTATAAGAAAACAAATGTATAGAACAATTTCATGGGAAAAAGGCCTTAAGTTTTCCTATATTTTCCAATTTTTCTTTCCATAAAAACCATCTCGTGTATTCTATTAACCATATATATTACAAATAGTTTACTAAATAATATAGTAGTAAGTTTAAATAACCATAAATAAGAATTTTTTAGTCAAGATCACAAATAGGCTGAGTCAACAAAATATGCATATTATTCTTTATATTTTCAGATTCGAAAAATTGTTATTGATAAAGGTAAAGATTCTTTATTGGTATCATTATGCTTTGCACTCAGCTTACTGGGAAGACGATCACTAGGGTTAGCATCACACACTACTATGTCAAGGTATGTAAACATTTATCATCTAATAATTATTTTTAATTTATGTATCAATTAATTTTTTAGTGTCGAGTTTTTCCTCTATGGTCTCCATGCCCTCTTTAAAGGAGATTTCCGTATAACATCAACAAGAGATGAGTGGATATTTGCAGATATGGACTTGATGCGTAAAGTATTAGCTCCAGCAATTAGGATGTCGTTGAAACTTCATCAGGTGTGTGATATTCATTTAAGATATTAAAAAATATATTAATTAATACACCAACTTATTTTTGTGTATAGAATCATTTTATGGTTCCTGATGAATATGAAGATCCAGCTGCCTTGTATAACGCTATAAGCTACCATCAACGAAACTTAGTGATATCACACGAAGGAGATCCTGTTTGGAGAAATGCTGTTTTGTCTGGAATGCCATCATTACTTGCTTTAAGGTAAATTAACATTTTATTAATATTCAAATTCTTTTCATTCTGGTGTAAGTCATATTTTGAAATATTAAGTAATGTTTATACATGCATATGTGTTATTGATATGTTAAAATGGTCTACCATCCTTAATTATAATAATAACATATAGGTGATAGTAAAAATATATTTAATTAAAATAGTATTTTGGTAATAACAATTATAATTATTATTTTGCTAATTGTAAACAAAATCAAAATCAAAACGAACCAAAATTCTAATAAACCTTGGCATATCACTTGTGATAAGTTTTTGAATGACATGCACTTTGTCTTACCTATATAAGGTTAAAGTTAATGACAATCTCTTTTCTTAGCCAGGTGCCAGCACTGTTAACTTAATGCTAAGTACACGTTTATCGAATATTGATTTAATATTCAATATCTTTAAGATCTCATTGATCATATATTTATATCCAGGTACCATTCAGTTATAAAGATAGAATAATAACTGATTGCAAGAAAAGTTCAAAACATTTTTGTAAATTATGTTTAGGGGAAAAGGGGGGGGGGACTCTATGTCTTAAGTGTGTGCGGTTGGGTAGCTCAATGGAAGAGTGAGGTTCAAGAGTTGATGACTGGGTTCAATTCCCGGTCTGCCGGCCTGATTTTCCAGACAGAAGTAAACATTTTTATCAATACTTCAAAACAAAAAATAAAAAAATACACTAGTCCTTGTTCACATTTGCCATTTTAGCTTGGCCATATTAACTTACTTAACTAAAACCGAATTAACTAAATTAACTAGAGTGGTGTGGCCCGAGCGAATCTTAAACCAATCCGTACCATACATATATTTTATTATTATTATTATTTAAGTGTCGTTTATTTTTTGAATTTACGTATATTAAACTAAACTATTTTATTTAATAGGCATATAATGGATGAAGGTTCCGATGAGTATAAAGTAATTATGTTGAACAAACGGTTTTTAAGTTTCCGTGTTATAAAAATAAACCGCGAATGTGTTCGTGGTCTTTGGGCAGGGCAACAACAGGAATTAGTTTACCTTAGGAATCGTAATCCTGAACGTGGTAGTATTCAAAATGCCAAACAAGCTCTACGAAACATAATAAATTCATCGTGTGACCAACCTATTGGTTATCCAATTTTTGTTTCACCATTAACTACTTCTTATGCTGAAACCAACGAACAATTATCATCACTTGTAGGCGGATCAATAAGCTTGGGAAAGATAAAAAAATCTATCATTAGAGTATGGTCAAGGTAAGTTTAATATAACTATTTAAATATTAAATTTTATTACTTATATTTTTGTTTTCCATTTAGATTAAAAAGTAGATGTGTTGAGGGTTGTTCCAGTGGAAGTTCATTACAGTCACACGATGAAGGTGGATTCGGACATGAGGGTGTGTACGCTATGACACAGTTTAATAGGCATTCCGGATATGGCACCAGAACACCAGGAAGTCAGTCAATTGAAATGAGTGGAAGTGGAAGTGGAGTAGGTGGTAGCATCAGCAGCAGAAGTGGTGGTACTAGAGGTAGTACTGCTAATGTAGCTGGCAAACCAAGTTCTGCTGGTTTGGCCAACTTGGCAGGACTGTTATCATCGTCACAGTCACCAATCACCAGTTCACCTCAAGCATCTGTCGACAGCAATCCTAATGATAATTCTCCGATGCATCACAAAGTTTTGGTAGGATTATTAAATAGTGTTCACAATGTTCTTAACAATTTATGACTCATCAATGTTAAAACTTTAATGTTTAATAGATTCTGGATCCATTGCAAGTGTACGATGCTATAAACTTGGGCCGTAGAATAGATGTTGTTTGGCCAGATGAAAAAATGCGAATAAGGGGTGGTCGGAGTCATTGGAAAGATTGGTTACCAGAAAAGGGAATGGAAGGATTGGTAATGCATTGCATTTGTACTATAATATGTTTATATTAATAATTGGCTATCTATATTACCCAACATCACCCAGGGCAGTGCCGCAACTAAGGTTAATAGGGCCGAGGTGCAATACCAAATAATAGGGCCCCTTACTTACCAACATTTTACAACATTTTTTCATAAAAAATATATTTATATACAGTGAAACCTCTGAATAGCGGACACTCTTGGTCACCAACATTTTGTCCGTTATTCGGAGGTGTCCGTTATTCAGAGGGGATACATTTTTGAAATTTATTTGTATAATAATGTACTATGTATGTAAATATACATATATGTAATGTTTTTACTTATTATTTATTGTAAGTTATTACATTTTTATATTTTTACGAATTACATATTATTATTTAAAGTATATTTTTACAATCAAAATCAAAAATTATTATTTAATATTTATCATTACATTTTTACCAAAAGTTCTTTATCAATCACACTGCCTTCACATTTTCTTAGTTTCGTTAATTTTCGTTCTTCATTTCCATTTTCAACCCACGCTTTATAAATTTCTTCTGTGTTAGAAACAATATCCGCGATCTGTGTTTTTCCAACTTGAAACTTTTCTGCGAGTACACGAATTCCTACGTTTCCGTTGTTTTTATGGTAATCTAAAATAATGTGTATATAAACGTTAAGTATCCACCACAATTTAAATTTATTTTTAACTAAAAAAATACAAATTTACATTAGATAAAAACATTTACATTACAAAAATAATAACTTATTTATAATATTAAAATTACTTTAAAAATTTTTTTTTTCTGCTTTTTTGATTGGCAAAGTCAATAATTAATTTTTCTACATCAAGTTCTTCAGTGCGAGCTCTTTCTATATTTAATATACTTGTGTTTGTTAGTTGGTCTTGAGATATCGAGTTTCTTAAATAGTTTTTAATCAGTTTAAGTTTAGAAAATGACCGTTCGGCCGATGCTACAGTCACTGGTAAACTTAAAAATATAATACAAGATGTAACAACTTCACTATACAAAGATGATAGGTCGTTTTCTATTAAATATAAACATAATTCTTTAATTGTTTTCATATCAGTGTTTTTTATAAATTCCTTTAAAGATAGAACTTGACTAGTTAAATCGGAAGTTACGTCAGTTTTGTAAAACTGAATAAAATCATAGCATGATTTTACTATTTCTGCTTCATTTAATTTTATTATATTTGGTGGCAATAAAAAATTAAAAGTATTTGATACTACTTTAAGTCCTTTAAAACGATCTTCGAGTTGAAATAAAGCAGTATCAACTAATGATAAAAAAGTGTCTGCTAGATTTCATAGTTTCATTTTCATCACTAAAAATTATGTCCGAAGGAAAGTTTATTGACGGTTTGCAAGGACCATATGATAGAATTTGTTTTTTCAAATTAGAACTGATTGTGATATTTTGAAAATGTCCTCTATCTGTTGGAAACTCCAACTTTAAATCCAATTCACCAACTAATCATATGCAAATTAAAAAAAAAAATTTTTAAATTTCTAGAATAGGTACTATAATAATTTTAACTAATTGATATATTCCTGGTTTATTAAAAATAAACTATTACTGATTCTGCTTTAACTGGTAACATGATTGTTGCAACAGAACATAATATATATTTTATTTATAGAGTATAGACATTAGACACATATTATTATCTATATTATTTTCTAATTTACTATGTAATAATTTTAAGTCTTTTTCAATTATTTAAAGAGGGCCCCTTTGGGGCCCTCTAAATTCTCTGCTGGGGGTGCAATGCACCCCCTGCACCCCCGGTAGTTGCGGCACTGACCCAGGGTAAAAATGAACAAATATAAATGAAATATATAGCTTGGTGTATTTCCGTTTGAGTATAAAACTATACCTCAGATTGCGAGCAAGTTGGTGTCTCAGTATACTTTGCTTTATGGATAGATATGTATGGCTGTGCTTGGTGTATTTCTACAGAATGTTATTTTGAATAAAAGATTTTCTTGCCAGTGACAGTCAAATTGACAAATATTAACTAGCTGATTTTTCCTTTGGTATAACCAATGGAGACCGCATAAATAAACAACAAAATTCAGTTTTCAAATTTTATCGATAAAATTCATGTGTGACCTGCTGTATATGGGTTAAATTCTGGTGTAAAACTTGACTTGGCCGTTTGAAGATTAAACTATTCTCATTTGAAAAAAATGTATTATTAACTAAAGAGTATTTCATTTTCTTATAACATTGAAGTATATGATAAATATAATTTTTTAGATATAGATTGTTTATTAAAACTTGTTTTTTACAAATTAAGGTGGTGCATCAATGGGTTCCAAATCACCGTGACTTATCAAAGAGATCTCACGTTGATAAAACTATAGTACTGCTCAAGATTGACGAACGTTACGTGCCTATAGCTGAAGCCGGTATATTAGATTTAGGAGCTGAAGTTGCTTGAACATTTTTGGTGTATGGCTTACATTATTTGACTGATTTGTTTTGGAGGTAATTTTAAAACTCAAATGTTACAAGCACACTTGCTTGGTAATAGCATTAGTCTTCCTCGATACTACGAAAAAAGTATTCTGTCTCCTTGTAAACGTACAAGTGTATATTGTGTCCTACAACAATTTTCTCGGGAAAAAAACGCTAGTACATGTTATATACAATATTTAAAAATCTTTTTAATGTAATTTTGTATTTTTATTGTTTTTTTTTATATATACCTATATATATATATATATATATATATGTGTATTTTGTTTTGTAAATATTAGATGAAAATGATGTAAATTTTAAACGTTAGATAAAAATGTTCCTCGTTTAAATGATCATTTTGTGATGCAAAATATTTGTTGTTAACATACATATTTGAACAAACTATATATGAATAACTATTATAATAAATTTATTTTAATAAGTGTATATTTCAATTATATTTTAGTGGTCATTTATATATTATGTTCCATGGTTTCATCAACATGACATGATATTTACCTAAGTACCTAACACTATTGAATCTAGGTCAATTGCACTCATCAATTTTTGGAATAGTGGACAATAGCCACCTGTATGAAGACAATTCCCATATATAACTTGTAATGATCATTTGGCTGTACGTTAAGCTTATTTTTTCAGTTATGTCAACTTATACAAGGAATCATGCATTCAATTTTCAAGCGTTAGGTTCTAAAATCAAACATTTTATGAATTTTGATAACGAAAAATGATTTGAACATCTTTAGAGGACGCCATACACGAATGTGTTGTATTTGTCTTACAAACTTACAACCTGGCAAATTTTACGTTCACAATAATATATAGATTTTAATCTGAAATGTATATAATTAGAATAAGATGACCCTTATAAAATTTAAAAGTTAGATTATTATCTAGGACATCTTTAAGACTTTATTATATCATAATTTTAAGTGAGTTATGAGTATTTTAAAATTTTAAATTGTCTGTACATCTTATAATGTAAATAACAAATGCAATAACACATGTGGATGTGGCGTCCTCTTAATAATATTAATAATATTATGTTTACTTTAAATCCTACAAACAACCTTAACTTCAGATTTGTTTATCTGCATAATATATATCTGAAGTTTTAGAATATTATACGAGAATGTTCTAAACATTAATGTTTGAAAATTTAAAAATGTTTATGTGAATGTCCAAATGTTGTGAGTAGAATCTCATAAAATAAGACAACAAGGAATCCAAACACTCATGAAAACCATATCAATCTATTAACATTAAAGACTGATTAAACAAGAGTTAAATTATAGAGAAAAAAAATTGAAGGGGGGCATGGGCGCCCGCAGGCAAATACGATTAAGGGATCAAAAAAAAAATTATAAAAAAATTGGATAGAATTCAATTCTAAAAATTAAAATTGGAAGGGGAACATAGGCGCCAACGGGCAAATGCGTTTTGAGAATCAAATAAAAAAAGAAAATATGAAAAAAAGTGCATTAAAGACTGCAGTCTACAATATCAGTATTACTAAACTCATAGCGTTATTTAAATAATTATATCATGAGAAAATGAATATTTTAAGGAACCACCTGGTTATCAAAATTTAAAAAAATGTGAATAAAAAGTTGAACTAGAGTTAAATTATAGAAAAAAAGATTTGAAGTGGGGGAAAGGGAGCCCGCAGGCAAATGCATTTTGAGAATCAAAAAAAATAAAAATATGAAAATATGTGCATTAAAAACAAAATTAAAGACTGCAATCTAAAATTACCAAATAATAAATCGAAAATGCTATTCAAATTCATTAATTGATCAAACAATGGTAATTTAGATTAAACCGGCCGGTTATAAAAATTTAAAAAATGTTTATGAAAAATTGTATAAGAGTTAAATTGTAGAAAAAAAATGTTAAGGCCTCATGGGCAAGCACGCGCAAATGAATGTTAAAAATAAAAAAAAATCAACTACTATTTAATTTTAAAAATAAAAATGGGAAGGGGGGCATGGGTGCCCGCAGGCAAATGCATTTTGATAATCCAAAAAGAAAAATATATAAAAAAATCAAAAAGGATTCAATTCTAAAAATAAAAATGGGAAGGTGGCATGGGCGCCCGCGGGCAAATGCGTTTTGAGAATAAAAAAAAAAATAAATATATGAAAAAAGTTGCATTACAAAACAATCATTAAGGACTGCAGTCTACAATATCAGTATTCCTAAACTCATAGCATTATTTATAATGATTATATCATGAAAGAATGAATATTTTTAGGAATAACCAGCTGGTTATAAAAACATAAAAAATGTTAGTAAAAAATTTAACCAAAGTAAAACTATAGAAAAAAAATTGAATTGGGGCATAGGCGCCCGCAGGCAAATGCATTTTGATAATCGAAAAAGAAAAATATATAAAAAAATCAAACAGGATTCAATTTTAAAAATAAAAATGGAAAGGGGGACGTGGGCGCCCGCAGGCAATTGGGTTTTAAGAATAAAAAAAAAAAAAATATGAAAAAATGTGCATTAAAACAAACATTAAAGACTGCAGTCTACAATATCAGTATTCCTAAACTCATAGCGTTATTTACAATAATTATATCATGAATGAATGAATATTTGAAGGAACCAGCTGGTTATCAAAACATAAAAAATTTAACCAGAGTAAAATTATAGAAAAAAAAAATTGAAGGGGGGCATGGGCGCCCGCAGGCAAATGCATTTTGAGAATCAAAAAATAAAAAAAATAATAAAATTTAATTTAATTCCAAAAATAAAAATGGGAAGGGGGTCATGGGCGCCCGCAGGCAAATGCATTTTGATAATCAAAAAAGAAAAATATATAAAAAAATCAAATAGGATTCAATTTTAAAAATAAAAATGGGAAGGGGGCATGGGCGCCCGTAGGCATATGCATTTTGAGAATCAAAAAATTAAAAATAAAATTCAATTCCAAAAATAAAAATGGGAAGGGGGTCATGGGCGCCCGCGGACAAATGCGTTTTGAGAATCAAAAAAAAATAAAAATATGAAAAAAGTTGCATTAAAAACAAACATTAAAGACTGCAGTCTACAATTACCAGATATTAAATCGAAAATGCTATTCAAATTCATTTATTAATTAAACAATGGTAATTTAGTTTAAACCGGCCGGTTATAAAGATTTTAAAAATGTATTTGAAAAATTTTATAAGTGATAAATTGTAGAAAAAAAATGTTAAGGCTTCATGGCCACGCACACCCAAATGAATGGTAGGTTTCAAAAAAAACTATCAACTACTATTCAATTTTAAAAATAAAAATTGGAAGGGGGACATGGGCGCCCACGGTCAAATGCATTTTGAGAATCAGAAAAAAAAATGAAAATATCAAATATAATTCAATTTTAAAAATATAAATGGGAAGGGGTGCATGAGCGCCCGCGGGCAAATGCATTTTGAGAATCAAGAAAAAAAAATTTAAGAAAAAAAATGAAAAAATATTATCGGAGTTTTATCGACTTTACCTCAGTACAATAAAATAATGTGTTAATTGAATGAAAGTTGTTATGGATACAAGAAATGAAAGTGAACGTTTTTTAAGTTCTTTTTTAAGTTAAAGCTTTTTGTTACTTAAATAATTTAATGTTGAATTAAAATTATATTGTGTTTCAAACTGTAACTAGCATACATTTTTAAAAAGTATACAAAAAATTAAAATATAAGAATATTTTAATTTTGGTTTTGTTCTTAGTAAATGTGTTGGAAAAAATAGATTATGTGCAATGTGGAAAGAAGTGAGAAGAAAATATATTTTGAATACTAAGACAATATAATTTTAATTCACTAAACCACATTTTTAATTAAAATTCTTGAATAAATAAATACTGAAAACCTTAAAATAACTTTTCATACCGTTAACTCTCAGTATTTCTTAATAATTATTTTGTTGTATTTTTTGATATATTAGACTTTTTAAATTAGTTTTTATAATTTTTAGACAAATCACTAATTAGTGTTGACTGTATTTAAGTTATTATTAATTATAAGTACTGGTACAACGCTAGCCGACTGGCTTTAAAACTGTAGATACAATTAAATTATTGAAAAATAAATTTGAAGGGGGACGTGGGCGCCCGCAGGCAAATGGGTTTTAAGAATCAAAAAAAAAAAAATTATAAAAAAATTAGATATAGAATTAAATTCCAAAATCAAAAATGGGAAGGGGGACGTGGGCGCCCGCAGGCAATTGGGTTTTAAGAATCAAAAAAAAAAAAAAATTATGGAAATATGTGCATTTAAAACAAACATTAAAGACTGCAGTCTACAGTATCAGTATTATTAAACTCAAAGCGTTATTTACAATAATTAGAATATGATAGATGAAACAAAAAATATTTATAAAGCATCACTAACTGGTTAAGACAATTTAAAAAATGTTTTTAAATAATTGAACTAGAATTAAATTATAGAAAAATAAATTCGAAGGGAAGCATGGCGCCCGCAGGCAAATGGGTTTTAAGAATTAAAAAAAAGAAATTATAAAAAAATTAGATATAGAATTATATTCTAAAATTAAAAATGGGAAGGGGGACGTGGGCGCCCGCAGGCAAATGGGTTTTAAGAATCAAAAAAAAAAAA